CAGGAATCGCCGGCGCATGCTTTGTTACGACGGCCAATCAGGCGGCTGATGTTAAGACTAGGTCGTGGGGTGACCTTGGGATGGGCGAAGGCTGGCTAGCGTGAGCGCACATTCACGCTGAGGCGTATGTGCGCGTCGGTCAAAGACAGTTAGCGCCTAGCCCCAGGAGAGAGTAGGTGCGCAGGCAGGCTAAAGGCGCCATGCTTCAGCGGCTGATCTTGGTTTCCAAGTGGCTGCAAAAGGCCACTACAAGTGCTCCCCTCCTAGACCAAAGTCTATCGATGAAAGAGATCGAAGGTAGGAAGATTAGTGAAAGATGGGGAAGGAGGTACTACAATACTACCTCCAGCAAGCAAAGTAATTTCCGGCTCAGGCATCTTCGGTGGATTATGGTGGCTAAGCGGTATCTATAGATCCTGCACACGGCGATCGTAGAATCCGCTGGCATACACAACCTCTTTGCAATGCTAGGCCAAATCGGTTTCAGTAAAGTGACTAAGTAGGGAAAATGTCACTCCAGTGTTTGCCGAACCACCTGGCGTTGGTGTGGCCCTGCTTCAAGTTAATACGGACGCGGGGGGGAGGAATAAGACTCAGGGAGACCTTGAAAGCGGAACCTAGTCAACGATTGTAAAAGATCTTGAATAGCGATCTAATGTGAAGGATGAAGTTAGAACCGTGGTGGCTATCCAAATACAGGAATTCGTGGATAGTAAATATCGCGAAAAAAATCAAGCAGAAGATTGCTGGCGCTGCATCCCTTCCCCATTTATGTACAATGGTAATGCACATTTAAGGACTGCTTTTACTTTGTCAGATATCAAATGTCAGCTTAAAAAAACAAGCAACGCCAACGGTATTACTCGTTGATGAACCCCTGATCTAAACCGGCTTGACAATGAGCTCTTGGCTCAACGGTTAGGGCGTTTGATTCTGATCAAAAAGATCGCGAATTCGAGGCTCGGGCGGGGCACCATTTGCGTATGGCTATGACTGGCTGACGACGGGTAATAAACCAGAAGTGACTATTTCAGTCTCTCTTGTTTTTGCCGGCAATACTATATGCCAACTGTGGTCTTAATACTACGTCGCCACCGTGGATTAACTGCTTCCCCACTGGGGTTTGGATAGCTCTTGTTGGCCACTACCACCCCTACATCAACTCACCTTCCTCTGCCGACGTACATGCAGGGTGTGAATTAAACGCGCAAAAACAACTGATGCACCGCAACGCCGGTCACTAAAGGAACCCACCTATCAATTACATTTAAAACATCGCTCCGCTTAAGACAGCTGTCGTCCATTACAACAGGCGACCTACCAGTGTCGGTTATTAGTGAGCTATGTTGTAAATGTGCCCAATTGTAGGCGGATCAATGGCATGCCGTGAGCGCGGCTCGCTGCCTGTCTGTTAAGGCGGCCCCTAACAAGATATCCGTCAAAAACTCTTTCATTTAAGTATCTTTTTGGAATGCTGTTGTCCACTCCATCTGCCATGGTTTTGACATCCGC